GATAATGATCGCGCATCTCTTTCTCCAATTCCCACGTTGTATCTCTTACACCTTGACTCCGCCACACGACTTTGACCAATGGTATCTCTTTGTTCCGTAACTTCTTGATCCTATAGTCGACGATCTGTAGTGGCTCATCCCGAAATCGTGTATCGCTGGTGAATTCCAACTCCTGCGGTTGTAACACGTGAGAAGGATCCGCAATATATTTTCTCAGCATCGATACGTGGAACACGTCATGGATATTGCCCAGTTCTGGTGGTAGTCCTAGACGGTATGCCACAACTCCCACCTTTGCAACAACTGGATATGGTCCGATGTATCGCGGCTTAAGCTTCCCTGATTGTCCAAATCTTGCGTGTCCCCGCATCGCCTGTACACGGAGAAATGTTTGGTCTCCCACTTCCAACGTAAAATCTCGTCTCCTCTTATCTGCGTAAGATTTCTGTCGATCTTGAGCTACCTTCAGATTAGCCTTGATATTTCGTATTACCTCTGTAGTTTCTTCCACTATCTCAGGCCCTAATGCTCGTCTTTCCCCAATCTCTGTCCAACATATCGGGGTTTTACAGGGTCTCCCATATAATGCCTCATAAGGTGCCATTCCGATGCTGGCATGATAACTGTTGTTGTATGCAAACTCGCACAACATCAAATGTTTATCCCATTTTTGGTGATTAATCGTGTGACGTGGACAATTAATTTATTAATTAATAATCAAGTTGTTATACTACATATACGACATTTTAAACATTATATTACATAATAGTTATGGGTATGTATATGCACAAATAACACATTATAGTCCGTGTGATGCACAATGGTATGGGTATGTATAAACATACTGTTAAGACATGTTTATAACATAACTCTAAATTATATACCCCGACACATAACTATCAAGAAATCCATGCTATATAACTTATGTTATAGAGTGATATTGTATAAAGGTGCATCAAAACATGTATACATGTATATATGTATAAATATGTTTGTAGCATTTTAAACTTTTTGACTCAACCATTCCTAAATCCATAAAATGGAAGGCACTCTAGATATAGATATAGTAGGGCCGAGAAATGAGGTTGTGAGTTTTTCCAAACATGGTAATATCAGGTACATGCTATCAAATGTACATACATTTGAGTATACAGTGTACTCTAAAACATCATATTCCAAACGTATGACACTACGTAATATATTTAAAACATGTGCTCTAAAGTTATAATTGTAGGACTACAATGTTTGGTATAAACCATCTCTACAATATGTGTAGATTATATCATGGTTTGTATGTAATATGTTAAATATAACAACTAGTATGATGTAAGGAGTGCGTTTAAAACGTATCAGCACTATAATAAATAATGATTTTGTAAAACCATAATACACATATGGTTTATGTATTGCACTCTAAACATGTTTCGACGCACTTTAAACATGTTTTGATGCACTCTAAAAATGTTTTCATGCACTCTAAACATGTTTGGATACACGCTGTGACACCCGTAACCCGTCTCCCGCTCACGAGTTGTGCCACATGGACGCCCAAATATATAATAAAATAGCGGGAATTTAAAAACATTTTATTTTATTACACACGCAGCGCAAAAACCAGTATTTGTTTACAAACCCACGTACAGTAGTATACACACCAACATAAGGACGGTAACTGTAATAAAATACAAAGTCAGGTCACCGCCCGTACAAGTCAACATAAGTCCAAAGAAAGAAAAGTACATGATCCAGATAGCTCCTCACACGTCACCAGTACCCTCGTCCTGCTGCTGCCAAT